GCTGTTAGTTCTCTAGAAATGTATAACAGATTGGACCTAGGAAAATACAGTTAAAAAAAGACAGGAAAACATTTATCACTATCGACTCAATGATTATAAATACTAAAATCATGGTTGGATTATACTCGATTATTAATTTATATTATAAAGTTTGTTTTTTGCAAGTATTTGAAAATGTGGCGATAATATCAAACATTGCAGACATTACACTGAGATCAGATTGTCTTTAAATATTTATTATGCAAGAATACTTTCACAAATCATTGCTGCTATCACTGCATCGCCATGTCCCTCAAGAAAAAGTAAATTTATGTCGAAGTTTGGAATATGTAAATTCTGTACTGAAAGTCATAATAAACATCAATTCGATCTAAAAAATTGAGACTTTTATGAACATCCTTATAAAAATCGATATGAAGATGTCAATAATTTTCAACTTGTGCTCACCTGCTGTTTTGCAGTCGTTCAAAAAATGTATCCACTGAAATGTTACTATTCATTCGGACATATGTTTTTGTGAAAGTTCAATTTTAGGGGACAATTTTTTGAACTTCAGTCGACTCATTCAGAACAGGATTCGCAGTATCAGTTTCATGAAGAATTAAATTTTAACAATAAACATCCCTGAGTTGTAGCTGATTAATCACAACGTAACGCTCCGAAATGATTACTTGTGCCATATAATAGTTGATCAATAATTTAGCGCTATTGCAAAGGGTCATTAACATGATAGAATTCGCCTAAACAAGAAACGATGATAATCATCTTATAACAAATGAGTTTAATGGTGAAACTGAAAGTACTTTTTGATCGGGCTTGGAGAATAAGATAAATGGCCATAAATCTGCCAGCCTGATAATTGCAAATCAATTGATGCAGAATGTAATCTTGTTATCATCATGGTTATGCAGTTGCTTCCTTTATATCCCATAACAAGAAATAGCTCTATTGTTATAAAGTCGAAGGCTTTTTAAATGCCGTCAATTTCAACTGAAGATTGCAATTTTCAAGATATCACGCTTCAATTTTGCACAAAAATCTTGTTCCGCATTCTCTCGGATAAGCCTGGGAACGGGTGAAAAGTAAGGGTTTTGTCTTTGATTAGAGCTGAAACAGAAAATAATATTATATTTGCTATATATTTTATGGTCGGCAAAGCCAAACCAAGACCAAAAGTTGCAGGAATTTGATCTTGCTTTTTCTCTTACACATAAAGTCTTCATATTCGAATAGAAAAGCTGGGACATCCAGGAAATGTTTTTTCTTAGAAACAGAGATTGTGTTGGCAAAATGTTGCATAGTAAGGTTTATGATAGCAAATGAATAGTCCAAATAAAAGATAACAAATTAATAAATGGTACAAATGAGATGAAGTAAAGTGGAAATTATTTTTGATTATAAACAATGTGTAAAAATTACAAATATGCAACATTAAACGATGATTTGACTCTGTGCAAATGATAAGCAAAAGGGGATAGTGGCGATGAAAAAAGCAACACACAAAATGTTTTTGAAATCGACAGCGCTTCGACTCTTAAAGATACCCTTAAAAATAATGCAAAATTTTCGAAAATTCGATATCCAGTTAAATATTTAATCTTCTGAGATAAATAAAAAAAACCGCTTATCTCAGAAGAGGCAAAATAAATCTGAGTACTCCAATGCATATTTGGGGGAGCGCCTCCGAAACTGTTTCTAATTATGTTTTATCTCAACAAGTTTTAAAAAGCTCAAAATAAAATTTAAAAATTTGCATTTTCTTAATGTTCGATGGAGAAATTTCTGATCTATACTTCGCTATGCAGTTTTTATCGAAAATTGGAACCCTTTCTAAAGTATTAATTATAGTTTCCGATTTTTGTAAAATAAAGACACAAAGGGTTCATTACAAGTTTTTTGTTCTTCTTGAGTTTTGCAGTTATTTACGCAGAAACAGGAAGACATATATTTAAATCTGAATGAAAGCTAGATCACCAAGATAGATCACATAATTCGTGAAAACGCTATGCAAATGACTTTCTTTAACCAGGTCAGCGAGTATCTCAGACCTTCTTCACAACATGATTGAATAATCAGCCATGCATCATATTTTATCTAACTTGAATCTAAATGAACCCTTAAAACGCATATTATGAATGTTCTAATGAACCTCAAGCTTCATCCCAATGGTTCTTTGCATAACTAATAAAGAAAATAATACAAGGGAAATGAGTATCGCGTATTTAATTAGGGTTCAGCATTCATATTTGGCAAGATTGAATTGATCATAGAGTAATCAGGAAAAGGGTATTTGTCGCCTTGGGGGCGGTTTCTTTTTGATTAACTTGCTCGTTATAAAGGAAGCGATTTTTTGATTTGCCATTGGCAAATCGCGTAATTTACATAGATTTCGAGGATTCCATTATTCTGGTAGGAAAACTTTGCATAAGGTGTGGGTGAGTGGCGCAATTTACTTCGTTTGAAAATTGGAGTTGTTTTTGCGAAACATTTGAAATTCTTGGCGGTTTTCAATGCTTCAACCCAAACTAACCCAACGGTTTTTTATTGTTTTTGTTTTACTCGTAGGAAAGGCATGCAAAACACCATTTAGTGAGATATTGCCAACTGAAATGAATACTTCCCTAATTGCATTTAGCTTTAGCTTAAAATCCAATTACTGTGCTTGCTGATTTAAATTGGCGTATTTTGCCACTAGACAATTGATGCGGAAAACCTCTGGACTTTAAGCAATTGTTACATAATAAACCAAAAGCCTGCAAGCAAAGCAACCAGTCGACATTAACCGAAAAGGAATATCCTGACAGAGCACAACCAAACCCACTTTCGTATTTAATACCATGTTCTTTAGAGGGTATGACACCCTGAAATCAGCAATTGTATGAAAACTGATACCGATGTAGCCTGTAATCAGCATTTCAAAGTTATTTCCTGGTATCATGCCACGCGAGCCTCGAGGTGGGCGAAGAAAGGATACCATAAACTCTTCAAACAGTATTTGAAAGATGACGGCAACTAGTTGGTATCCTGGTTTATAATTGATATTTCGTAACGTTCTAAAGGGGATTTCGATAGATAATTTTAATGTTTTCAATTGGACATCCTTGAACAATCAGCGGTGGATCTTTTCCTGTATTTTTATGGCTAATTGCTCGCATTAATTGCACAAGGATGTGTAGGTGGTTTTATAGATTGTTACTGTATTGAATGTAATTGCATCTGCAGGAGCAGCAGCTACAAGGAAGAGTTTTTAAACCAGAAGGAATCTAGCTCAAAAAATAACTTTACCACACAAAAATTGTTACTATGAACATGCTTACCGAAGTACATGAAAAATTTTGCAAAGCACTGAATTTAATTAGAAAAAAAAGATATTGAAGCCTTGATCATGCTATCATTATAATTAATATCGGAACACGAAAACAAATGCTCCATTGGGTCCGTCGCGGCGCTCCCACCATTTTTCTCTGGGACGACCATGGTCGCTGAAGCGTCGTGAAACAGACGAGCATCGTGGTTCTGGTTGCGAAATTCCAAAGTTGGCTGCGACCATACCAAACCACGATTAGTTGATTTAGACGTTGAATGTGATGCACACGCAATTACCAAATCGTGTGAATTGATGCGCTCAAGTGTCTTCCGATTTTTTCTGTCATTTTTTTGTTGTTGAAGCGCGATTTTGTCCTTGTGGTGACTGGAACTGACTTTGTTTTTGGCTTTGGCAATTTGGTAGGACTTTGGATTAAAGATGACCGTGATGAATGGGCAATATTTTTGTATGGTAGGTCAGCTGATTTTATTTTCTAACTATAGAGACGTGTGTACAAGACATGTTGGAGTCAAAAAATTTGAGCACAGATAATGCCTATTAAAAATAATATGAAAACTGCAATTTTTTTTTGTTTACTTTGCAAATTACCGCTTATTATAGCAGTTTCTGTATATATTTTTAAAGATTTAAGCAGCAGTAAATGTCAGACTTAATACCTTATAAAACCCCTTAAAACATACAAAATATTTTTTCCAAAAAGTCCTAGTCACATTCAAAAAGGTTGAGAGCAGATAATTGAAAATTTTGTGGAAACTTCAATGTCCTCGTTATTCCGAGTTTCTACATTAAATTCTTAAATACTAAACGTATTTCTTGGTTTATTTTAATTGCGTCTCTATATTCAACTCAATATTCAAAAAAGCTGAAGAAAATATATAAGAGGAAACAATGATTTCAAATGAAAAAATGCAAGAATGGGTCGAACTTTTATTTGGAAATATTTGCTCACTTACTTCGCATTATTTTTTTCAATTTGTCGCAAATTTCATTTGCCTCAATTTTGTGTCAATAATTATCAAATTGTTTTACGCCTTTCGCATCTTTTCAATTTACAGTTTAAAGATTTAGAAAAAATGTTATTACCCATGTTTGAACTACACTGTTTTACGTACGTATATTTCCATCCATATTCAAACGAATAAAAATACTCAATATTCTACGCCGGTGGCTTATTTTGCTAGATGTTCTGGTGTCGCTTTTGAGAACATTTTTTCTTTTGATTTTTCAATGCTTTCGGCAATCTATAGCTTATATTTAATGGAGTATTCTGTTGAAACTTTAGAATTGTAAAAAAGCACATAAAAATAATTTGCAACGTAGAATCAATTTTATTTGATTCCCCAATTGTCTAGCCCATTGTCTAGTTAATTTGCACACACAAGCCAAATTTTGAAAAAAATGTGGTAAAAAATTCTAAAAATTGATCGCTGAAAGTTAAATAATCCTGATTAATTATACAAATAAAATTAGAGTTTTTCGAACATTTTTAATTTGCTTAAATTTTTGCCACCCTTTTCAATTATGGTTCTATAAAACTTTTGGTGAACTGACTGTTTGAATTGATTGAAAATATTTAGTCTACTTTTTTTAAATGTTAAGAATAATGGGATCAGCAAAAACGCATAATCCTAGTAATGATTAATAATACGTAGTCGTAAATTTTGTATGCAAAAATGATCCTGCAGGATGATGAAAAAATTTCATCGCTCATCTAGGGAATTAAAATGGCAACAAAATAACACATTTTATGAGGTTTTTGTAAAAAGTGTTTATAGTTGAATAAACCGACAAAGTCATAGTAAGGAGAGACATTTGCTAACTTATTTTGGTGCAGTCGATTCAAGTTGTTAACAATAACGGCATTAAAGTTCGATTTCTACAACTTTCGGCGTTTGAAAATTACCTTTGTTCCTAAAATGGTTATAATATGCAATCAACAGTCTCTAAGGGATTTTGTGTAATTTCAATAAATTTTTTATAATTAGCTTGCTTCAAAGAGGCAAAATTACAATTTAGTCTGCTATCCAGTAAACTCATCTAGCTGGTTTTTATAGAAGCACCTCATATACCTATTTGGGATAATCTCATATATATTTCCTCAAATAATCGGATGTCTTTAACAGCATAAGAAAAATAACCAAAGGACAAAACAAGAAAAGACACAAAAGAAAAAAATATATTAATTTGGATTTATTTAAGGCTTTTCACACAGCCGTTTCTCTGAGAGAGGGTTTGGGATTAACACTGCTGCACTTGTTGTATGCTCTTAATTCTAATGATTTCATGTTGTATTTTAGCTAATTCCATCCTTCGCTTTGACTTTTTTAAGTTATTTCTAATAAACTTTGAAACTACATTGGTAGAGTCTGGATTCTTTCAATACCACAACTTATTTGCATTTTTCCTTAGCTGCAGCCGTTGAATTGCTCGCTTGCCATTTTGATCTCCATTGTCTTCAACTTATATTATTTTCGTCTTGACCATTTTCAACAACCCAGAGTTAAAAGCGCTATTTTCATAGCAATATCTTTCATCTTACTTCATCTACTATTACGCCCAATTTTCTACATGTTTGAAAGGCTGAAGAAATTTCAAAAAATTCGCAGCAACACTCAACTGTGTAACTTTGTCCCTTGCATAAGCTGCAGCAGATGCACTTTCTGAAATTAACAAGAATCGCATCTTACTATTTCGCAAAATATTTTTTTGCATTTTTTGCTGCTTCCAAATTTGGTGCTTTATTATTTCCCCACTGATCCTCTTTACTTGATCGGTGATAATTCCTTTAGCGAAGACGCAAGCCGGAGGTTTCTTAAGGCCAACTTATATCACTTTATTATATCATCTAGGTCAGTTCGAATGCGATGCATTAAAACTGAAATAAAACTGCAAGCCTTCGTTTACCCGATAACGTTTCTGGGTTATTGGTCCAATATTGTTATTATTTACTGCTCATTTTTTTTCGTCCATATCGCCATCAATTTTATTAAATGCAGCGATGCGAGATCTGCTTCTGTTGATGGAATATTGTGAAATTTTGAAGAAACGTGTATTTAGTAACTTTTACGCTACCATAGTCAATGTTCTATAGAATGTAATGTACGCGAATTTTGCAACTGTCGGTTGTAAATCAACAAACTTGTTTAGAAGAGGAATGATTTTTGAAAAAATCGTTACTTGCTATTTAAATATCAGATAACTGAAATATTTCAAAATAGTTGCTCCACTGTGGCTCCGGAGGCCAGAACTGGGAAGTTGTTAGAACAGATTCCCACACTTCAGTGCACGATTGGATGAGTTATTTATCATCATATTCAAATATTGTCTAAATTTATTAGTTTAAGCTTAAGTGTGTTAGTTAATATCTCTAATATTTACAAATTTTATTACCGTAATCTATTTTTATACATTTTGCAAGTGTTCTTTCTTCACAAACTGCTCCCAATTTTATTTGCAAACGCACCCTGCTTTAAGATAAGCGCATATATTATTAATAACCAATGGAGAAGAATGTGGTTGTTTTGTTCTCGGAAATAAACGTCATAAAATTCTTTCACGGATTCTTAGTAAGGCTTTACATACTTATGAGGCCTTCTAGAGTCGTCACAAAAAGTTGCAATGTGTGAACGCGCAAATTCCCCTGCATTCGATCCATCCAGTTTTATTAAATATTATGAAAAGTCCTGCAATTCGATGTCGTCAGTTTGAGCAATTTACTTAAACCTTTTCATGTGTTGGAACAATATTCATTCAGTAGTTTATAGTAATTTGTGTAAAAAATATATTCTTGTATGAGAGAAGAAATTAATATCGAAATCTAAAATTGGTGAACTAATTAATATTAGACCGTAAGCTCGAATCCATAAACATATTGGCCTTTGCTAAAAAATGCAACAAAATGAAGCAATTGCAACATTAAAAACACATGCATTAGCCAGTATTTGCCAATTAATTTTGTAAATCCCTAGCGATTAACAGGTAAAACGCATTGAAACATAGTCAGCATTAACGTGTTATAGAAAAGAAACTCTGCATTTGATTGCCACTAATTAAAAATTCTTGAATTTCAAACTACATCAAATAGGAAAATGTCACATTTAATTATGCAGTTTTTTAATGGAGCAATTTTGAAGTTTGAAAGGTTAAATTAATATTAAATTTAAATATTTGCCTTTCACAGTTCAGCGTGAGAGACCCGGCAGATATGATCAGGATCATGTAAACGATCATAATTATTATCTCGAGATTATGATGTATCTGAGTTTTTCACACGATTTCTTATCACCGTGTCTTCTTGAGCTATTATTTATGCATTATTAGAACCGGAGGCTATTGTGACAGTGTTTAGCTATTATAGAGCCATCTGATTGCTTCCTGAACCGTGTAAGACACGTTACGAAACAGCTCGTTTTTTTAAATCGAAACTGGATTAAATTAGGATATAATAAAAAAATTACAATATAAACACACTTTCTTCACAGAGATTTTCTTATTTTCATTAATAATTGATTTAATACTGTTAATTATCTGTGTAGGTATTGCGTTATGCTGCAATTGAGTATTTATAATTAAATGTTTGCTTTCATGGAATTAATACTTTGTTCGTTACGACCTGATTTTAAAGAATGTTTCCTTCTCCCTAATCCGGCCAACCTCCATCGTAAATAATACGTTAGATGTTCCCATTCAATTGCAAATAGTAAAATGCAATTGGCACATCAATAATGATGATGGTTTGTTCAAGTAATAGTGGCAAATTGTTTGGATTTTCCTAATTTTTGTAGATAATTCTTGGGAATAATAATTAAGTGGTCTCTTAGGCCCGAGCTGCCTCTTTGAATAAAGCGGATTGATTATTTTCTTGATTGATTGGTACCATCCTCTAAATTCCTGCGTTAAATACGAAGGTTGAACGAGCCATGATTTCGGGAAATATCACGACTTGCAATTGCCTACTACTAAAATTTTTGATACGAAAATTAGTTTATTTAATTCGTATAGAACCACAAGAATTTTTGTGAATTACAGTGAAAGGCAAATTAAAAAAACACACTGTTTAATAAACATYAATAATTAAAACGCTTATAAAACAGCCACTTATTTGCTGTTGACATTCATATTGAGTTGTTTGTCGTTTTTATAACTTTCAGCTGTTATGTAATTTAATCAGTTTTAACTTATTTGCAATTACCATAACGAAATTGAGACTTCCTGGCAACCAAAATGAGATTCTTATATATACGTATAACCTGCTTTGTGTAATTGGAAGATGTTCCAAAAGTCGTGCCAAAAGAGTCCTTCAACTTTGGAATAACCTCTTAGTAGATGGTGTGAAAATGTTTCCTCGATTGGCATTTTAATTACGTTCAAAGCTATTGAAATATTTATTATGTACGTGTATTTATGATTGTTTTTTTTTAATTAGTGTCAATATAAATTTAACTAATTTA